ATACGGGATTTCATCGCTAGCCAATGTACGTCTCTGCTTACGACAGTCTATTTAGTTTGTCATTACTACTTAATCGACTGAAATCATATTTCCCAGTGAGAAGAAAAATACGTTCAGGTTGTTAGTGTTCCAATCCAAATTTATTCTGGAGAGACATTGAAAAAAAAGTGTCAAGACGTCGAGAATTATCAGTTCGGTGGTTTGACATGAAAGTTATATGTAATGATCATTCACCTATATGGTTTTAGAATTGTCTGTTATTGTTAACAATTAAAAGATGACGTGTACTGGATTGTAATATGAATCGTTTCAATACTAATTAGAAGAATAGTCAATAGACACTACCTTGATTTATTTAGTGATTCATAGTTCAAACGTAATTATGGAAAATGTGAGGCGTCATAATTCTTGTGAATAAAGATCCTTCAACTCGGAGGACAGAGATTGATCAGTTTAATTTGTCCAAACTGGTTTGAATTTTTGTAGCAAGGTTGTTTTCTTTAGGATGGAACTGACGACTCTAATCCCAACCATCATGCTTTGTGTGGACTTGTGACTGACAGTAACCCTATAAGGGCTATAGGCGGAGTTGTATTATTCTTCAGGATAGTCGGTATCAGATGCCCTGTCCGACCTTGTGCATTGGACTGCCAATCATTTATCCTTTTCTGATGCTCACGTTTTATTTAGAAAATGAAAAACGAGAATGTCATTTAACAATGATTGTCACATCTAATTTAATGTTTATGAAATTGATAACTAAGAACAATCATTTTCACCGAGAAAAGGATTATTTTTTGGTGTTGTTAAATCATCTACTGAATCAGAAATCAAGTAGTTTAGTCCTACTTTTATAGAAAAGCATTTACAACATTCACGCAGACGCGATGTTATTTACACTATAAAGTAAAAATCATAGATCACTTTCAGTTTTATAGCGTACGTTGCGAAACCACGAATAACATTGAAACTTAGTATTTACACTGTTACCGACTAGTAAGCTACAATGTCGTTCCTGAACTTATTAAAAATCATTCGGGTTACTTTCTCCAAATTTCGATAATACAATGAGAAGACGAAGGTTATCAGAACTATGTGATATATTTGCGCGATATACTTCGAACAATCTGACCACATATATACTTGTTAAGACATTTTTATATGAAAACTAAAAGGTCAACTAGACAAATTAAAGGTAAGCCGTAACAAAGAAAAATAAAGTACACAAAAACAATGTGATAACCAGTCTGGATGACAAATCAGTATTGCCAGGGTAGATTAATGCCAAGAACAAATTATTTTGAATTCATGAACGAAGTTTCAGTTTACGTATAATCAACGCTTCAATAAACCTAAGTGTAGGCCTTTGAAGGCTTTTATAGAAAACTACAAATGCTGACTTCATGTCAACCTTATGACCAGTCTCAACCAAATGTTTCGCAATGGAGGAAGATGTCTGTCTATTCTGTGATCTTATTTGAACCATTGGAATCCATTTGTTTTTGCAGCCATCTGGGTATGTGTTCCGCCACCCTTACTTGCATATCACGATTGCTCCTCCCTATGTGCGTGTTTCTGCACATCCATGTAAACTGATAGACACAATGGGATGTGACATAGTCCCTTACGTGCTGTTTGAGTTTTTGGTGAAACATAAACCTTGTCTTTTCAATAATGACAAGTTGAGCTGCATAAAATCTCCTGTTGATGGCTAATTTAAGTCCCCGTTTCAACATGAGAATATTTGAGTCGCCTCTAAATTGTAACATAATGTGAACTCGCTTTTTGGGTGCCAGAATCATCATCGGTCTAATCACATTGCTGCCCTTCCAGTGGTTTATAAACTCCAACGAATAACCATTATTCGTTAACTTGTAGTGTCAGTTACTTTGTTAAGCCCATTTATCTTATTCTCGCTTTCGGACAGACCAATCAATTGATTCTACTTGAGTCACATTTTGACCTTGTTAATTATTCGCTTATCAATCTTGACTGTTTTTATATGAGCTCATGTATGTGTGTACATTTCTTATCCTATATTCATCACATGTCTGTAACTTATTTTTGTGTAGCTATAAATATTGATTAACGTTTGGTTAAAGGGGAATTAGCTTACCGACCATCTCCACTGAACGTCGTTTTGCTTTGTTCTATTCCATTCGCTTTACATGAAAAATATATGTGTTAAAAAGTCCATTCTCGTTATATGACTTACTTAATTCCGTTATTGAGTAATGCGATTTAAATCGATGATTATATACGAAGATAGATGATAACAAACATTCATACGATCTGCTTGGAGTCAGAACTCAAGCCACTAAAGTGGAGAGCCCGTCAACAAACATCGTCCGGTCTAAATGACGACAAAATAAAGGACCCACAAACTTTTCAGTCAGCAGATTCTTTCCTACTTCAGTTGTATCGCTAGCATAAATATCGTTGATTCTATTGAATAAGCCCTTTATTAATCCACGTTTGTAATGCGTTGAACAGTGACTACGGAAATTAAGATATTACCCTGTCTATGTAGGCTTTCTGTGTACAGAACGTTTGATGGAACCATCATCTCTCCTACTAATCAGTATTGTTTAGAAAAGAAAGTTGATTATCCTTCTCTTCTTCGCGCGTATTAGAAATATGTTTTTAACTTGTGTTGAGTTCTTTTAACAAACTGTTCACATGACGTTTATCTCCTATGATTATGATGTCGTCAACGTACCGCTTATACAGAAACATCTTTTGAATTGAATATTCAGCTAGATTTTCAACATATCCCATAAACACACCAGCCAGCAATGGTCCAAAAGGGCTGCCCATAGCTACGCCATCGATTTTTCGAAAGTGCTCACCCTCAAAAGTGAATTTTACACTGTCAGTACTCAATAATAATAAACCTTTGAGAGTTTTAACAGGAGATGGCAATATAAGGTTATTCAATGAGATATAGTCAAATAAAATATCAGTAGTTTTCCTAAAAGATACTTTGTAAATAGAGTGTTCTTATCAAAGGAGCTTATTGTCTTCGTTTGTATATTCATATCCATTAAGTACTTCATTAATCCAAATGAGACAAATGAGGAATACTTATAACATTGATTTCGGATAGGGTTTAATACTATTATCAGACGTTTTGCAAGGTTGTGTGTATGTGACCGACACATTGATACAATTTATAATCATATATAATGGGTGGATAGATAGTTACTCACAACTGTAGACATTATTTTTCGAAACCGATGCATCTTAGTGCAAACTTAGTGTGTTTTACACTAGATTATTTAGTGGTTTCCAATAACTTAATGACTTACACCTGTTGCACCTCGTAGAGAAGCATAGGTCGCCCACAAGCATTACCCATCAAACTCTGTCCTGGACAATCATTCACAGTTGGCCCCAGTTACTATTCATCCTTTTCATGTCTGCTTCCAATTCTCAACACAATATGTTCTTTGACATTCCTCTTTTCCGTTTACCTTCAGCATTCGAAAATAGCGCTTGTTTCGTGATGCAGATTGATGATTTCTTCAATGTATGTCCTATCCATTTCCAGACATTTCCTAATTTCATCTCCATATGGAAGCTGGTTTGTTCTCTCACATAGTAGACTGTTGTTGATGGTATCCGGTCAGTGGACATTGAGTATCATATGTAGACAATGGTTTGCAAATACTTGCAACATTTTAATGATGATTGTGGTAGTTGTGCAAGTTTCTGCTTCATACAATAGAACTGTCTTGACATTTGTAATGATTCTGATTTTGATGATGGCTTACAGACCGTTGTTTTGAGGAGTTCTGTATGTTGGTCAGTTGTGGGGATGCTGTCCTTACTTTGTCAATCCTCTTCTTTACGTCTGCATCAGATCTTTCTTGTTCATCGATGATGCTGACCATATTATGTACGTGAACGTTTCCAACTATTCCAGAAATTCTTCATCGAGTGTGATTGAGTTTGTGTTCTCTGTGTTGTATTTGAAGATGTTGGTATTTCCTTTATGTATATTGAGGCCTACTGTTAGACAGTATGCTGATTTAATCTTCATATCGTAAGCTGGGTTTCGATGGAACTCCACCCTGTACAATCCTTTCTCAATAGCATAAAATTCTTATTGGCAACATCCTGACGATGTCGTTATGACGATATACTATAGTCGCATGACCTTTTCATAAATACTATCACTGTCATTATTATTTTCACAAGCGATATAATATTTCTTATATGATGCATTCTATTCAACTAATTCAGTTACTGATTGTAATTTTTCCCAGTGTAATACAATCAATATGAATTCATCTTTGTATAATCTAGCGATGAAATTATCAAAAGCAAATCGCACTCAACCAGTCTTTGGTCTGGATACCCTGTGGGGATCTTTAAACTAGTGATCAATATACGTGGTGTTTCCGAATAAATAAAGTTGACGTTTATTATAAGGATAAGGAAGATGGTTATAGTTCTAACTACTGAGTATGCGAAAGTGATGGTTAATAGTAGGAATAGGGGATCATACCGAAAAATCCACAAGTGATAATTACATTACTCCCGTCGTGGTTAAACTCCACCAGTCACAGTCTCTCACAAGAACCTCTCTCAGTTAGTTATGATCACTACTTAATAAAACAGTTTCTCTAGATCTATTTAATTTGAACAAAATTTACCATTAAGGGTAAACAGTTGCTTACTATTATTTTGAGTCAGTCTATACATCATTATTAGAATAGTCAAGAAAGTGTATCCTATTGTTTTAATATGGAAAAGCTATTGAATACAGATTTGTACCTTTCTTTTATTATCATAATGTCTATGATTGATATTGTTGTAATTACAATGAGCGATTTAAGACACATTGATAAGACATATTCATGAAGATTATGTATGGGCCAATTGAAATAGGTGTTAGAACGTTCATATATCCATATATACATATACATACATCTATTATCTTTGAAGCCAAGCTACTAAAGTATTTGTACGTCTATAAGCTATGTAACACTTAATTATGCAATCATATTTCGTCTAATTTTATGCACCCAATTAATTATCTAAGTGCAAATTTATGCACAATATACTTTGTTGTACCTGTCATTTGATTATAGGTGTAGAAAATTAAATATTCCATATATATGTTTTCTCTATGAAGCCAAGTTACTAAATTCTCATTTTCTTACTTTATTGCATTTATAATAAGGTCAAAAGTGTGACACACTTAATGATATAAATAATGTCTGATTTGAAAAAAAAATTACTAAGGTAGCATAGTAAACGGCTACTCAATTTATCCGCTTACATATTACAAATCTTTTAAAATATAATAATGGGTGAACAAAAAGCGGTAATCAAAAATGCCGATATGTCAGAAGATATGCAACAAGACGCTGTTGATTGCGCTACACAAGCTTTAGAAAAATATAATATTGAAAAAGATATAGCAGCATTCATTAAGAAAGAATTTGACAAGAAATACAATCCTACATGGCATTGTATTGTTGGGAGAAATTTCGGAAGGTTAGTAATATTTTGTAACTCGACATAAATATTTATTCATTATTAATATGTAATCAATGTTATTCACTCACTGTTTATGCCAAGACAGAAATAATTTGACGTTATAATGTGGAGTTTGTAACGGTGTATAAGGAATTATGTAACTTTATTGGAAGTCAATATTATACATGTAATTGGATAGTATACATTTAACTATTTTTTGTCACATTCATGTAATGCATTTTTTCTTCATATATAAACGGTTCCCAGTTTCGTCGTATACATTATAGGACGAGAAAGGTTCACCAACTAAGAGCTTTTAACAGGATTATGTTAGTTTGATTCAAATCATTAAATGATTCTCAAAATCACTGAGAAAAAAAAACACTAAAAAAGTGTAGATGGTAGAGAACAATTTGAACTACACCTACGAAGAGAACAATTTGATCTACACCTAAGAAGAGATCCCTCTCAATGGCGTGAAACTTAATATAACATTTAAATTCTCTCTATAAATGAACAGTCTGATTTTGAATGAACATTATGTCTGTCTGATCAATCAGAAGATACTTCCATGTTTAATGTTAAAGTCTTTTATATCTGCATTAATTCAGTCATTGACTCTGTTTATAAATAGAATGTCTAATTCAAGGACAGTTTACGTCAAGTTAGTGTAGCTGCAAAACGTTCGATGAAAACACAGATGTTAGTTTGACTGGATGTAGGAATCAAAAGCATCATCAGTGTTGGATTTAGTAATTCATTTATGAATTGTGAAGCGGTGCTCAGAGTAACAATTACAAATCAAATTTAGTTGAATGACAGACAGTTAGATCAAAATAATAAACGATGAAAACCACTAAGCATTAATCAACAGTGACATCTTGATTTCTTATACTTCTCAATCCAATCCTCAAGTAATTCAAACTATATATTTTGACGGATCTATAGTCTGATTTTGCAATTCTATGAATACTGAGGAATTTCATGTGCTGAATTGGTGGATTCAAATAAAGTTCGTAAGATTTTCTTATTCTGAAATTTGCTTATATGTTGCTAACTGGTTCTCCAATTCCCTTTATTCATTGCAGTTATGTGACGCATGAAACCAAACATTTCATTTATTTTTACTTGGGACAACAAGCAATTCTTCTCTTCAAATCTGGTTAATTCGGAGAAAGTCAAGACAACAAGAGAAATACCACCAGAAACCAAATCAAACATTGTAACGCACATCTGATCATTATTCATTCAGCGTAACCCAATTAACTTCACAAACACAATTTTCTGTAGTAATTCATCTTTCTAAGAGCAAACAGAAAAAATATAGGTTGAATGAAGAGCACAAAACAGAACAGAATAAATATTAGTATAACTGAGATTGTGTTTCCACATTGTCTTTTGTACTGGTTGATCCACTATCATATTATTGTCAGTGTGTGCTTTTGTGTGTGGTAATTTTATCTGTGGTAGTGTTTCGAAATCGAAAATGAAACATCTTCATTATTAGTAAACAATTGAAATAAACAGTTATTCGTGCAGAAGACCGAGAGTGTTTTCTCTTTATATCTCGTCATATAGGTGTGTTTCAGGATGGGTAATATCATTGTCGTTTCTCGTTGCTAGTGAATATATTTAGTAGGAAACAATTATCGAAACAGATAGTTGATATGTAATATTAGGTAATTTTCTAATCGTATTTGGTGCACAGTCACTGTGGAAGAGGATTATAAGTGTGAGTCATTAAATCATAATGTGGAGAATATTTCAATGACAATTATGAATTGATAGGTTGGTTCTTCATTGACGCACCTTCAGAATTGATGTATACAATGCACATATTCTGTGACTGTGGAACGTCTATGCAATTATCTAGCATTAACCAACCTATTGGATTTAACACCCAAATATTTCAGATAACCTGAACTACTTATCGTTTCACTACATGAAGCTATCACAGACATTATAAGTATATTCACATATATCTAATAGAACTTTCAGTTTATAAACTGCAGTATGTATATTTAACCACTGAAGATAGATTAAGTTAGTATAGTTTTTCGATTACGTGAATAGATCATATCCAAAATGTATGCTAGTTATGATCAATTAAACTGTGCATCATATTATGAATTATTAGCAGACATCAGGCAAAAATGCATCTCGAATTGTACCTAAAGATGAATGAGATGCCTGCATATGCATATTTCGCTTGTTAAAGTATATTAATGACAAATGAATTCCTAAATGCTGATGTCTCTCATCCAATCACTGGTTTCGGTCGCCTTACACATCAAGATTGATTGGTGAAATGTGTCTCTGACTGATGAAGATGTGAATGTTTCAGGCCTACATGAATATGGTGGTCGCGTATTTACCAGGACTACAAACATGTTCACAATCCCATTGTAATCTTATCAAGTATGATGTAAAACTGGTTTTGTGTCGAGGTGAATCGGAACATAGATACTGATAGTCATAACAACTCAGTGTGCAACTCATACCACACTAGGAACGTTGTACAGCTCACTTCGATTTAATTTATCTCTGAAAACCATTACTACTAAATTCCTAAACAACTGTTCGTAATTCAGGTTTATGTTGTGAAGACAAAAGAAGAAGGATTATCTTGATAATTGAGACGAATATCACAAAAGACAATAAAATATTAGACAATAGGCTGACTATAATTAGTACACTCGTAATCACACGAAGAATATTTCACTGAGTCAACACAAATGTGAGATGTCTCGAGTTTTGAACAAACATAGTAATAATTCTGACGAATATATATTTTTAACAACCAGTTATGCATTTGATGATTCAACTCAACTCATATTTGTGTCGTCAGTCAAATGACATGTCAGAACGTTTCTGATTCCCAGGTTGATTGAAAGCATTTAAGAGTATGCACTAAAATCCTTTTCAAACATTATCAGGGTAAAGTAGGTTTGGTGCAATATACTTAAATGTACTCAACAAAAATTGATGAGTTTCATATTTCAATTCTCTTAATCATTTCTAGTTTCGTTAGAACTTCCAATTACAGACACTCGATTTCCTCACGCAAATCGGAAACGCGTGAACGCATGTAATTCAGCTCATTGAAATAGCACAATGTCCTATTATATTATCTCCTCACATGTATTAGATAAATCATTAGTGAAAAATCTAATGTTATTTGTTGTGATGTATCCATTTTAAACGACAACGATTTATGCAAGCAAAATGAAATTTATTGGAAGAACAAAAGATCAATCATGCATAAATCACTAAGTCCTTTTTCTTTCCAAAAAAAACAAACAAAAGAAGAATAGGTAGTATGAAACGGCTAGAAATATGTATTCTGTTTCTTTCATTCAATGATCTAAATGTGCATGAATAATTAACAATTGTTGAATGTTAAAAATAATTTTTAGTCACATTACATTTTTAACCTACATGAAGATGCATTTTGTAACGCTTCTTCATTAATCTTTGAAGTGATATTTTAAATGATGAAAAAATCAGCGTATATATACACAGTAATAATTTGATACAGAAGAACATATACTTCGTAATTAACTTGCCTACATGTCAACGAATGGTAAATTTGCATATTTTACATATGAAGTATGAAAAAAAACACATTAACGATGAAGAGTTGATTCACTTCAAAAAGATTATGTATTCGTAACAAAGATATGGTTTAGAATCACAATTGATTGATCACTGGGTGGTGATCAATGTCATGCTTGTCTAGTCCTTATTAGTGCAGATCGAATGCTATCGATCATGTTGCGATGTGGCCACCAGTCTAGGTGACTCGACACTGCGGGCACTATGTATTGCGATTTAGATGATAGTTGGAGGTAGTCAACAGGAAACCCTGAACCCGGGTTTCGTGCTACTTGGCACTCGTCAGCAAGGTGTACCTGTAATCTTGAGGGAACTGGTGCTCCCTGGCGGATTCGATCTCGTGTCACCCAGCTTCACAGTCAGAGACGTTACCACTTAGCTATCCGAGCCGTGACTAACCTACTGTAGGACTGAGATGTAATCACAATTGATTGATCACTGGGTGGTGATCAATGTCATGCTTGTCTAGTCCTTATTATGGTTTAGAATATTTTACTGAAAGAAACAATATAAGTTTTCGTTTCATTTAAAGATTAGAGAATATTGCATAGTACTTTTAGAATCCTACGGTATGATGTTCACTGTTGAACAGTAATTCTGAGAACTCGTAAAATAAAAATACAACTAATCAACTACGAACGGTTTTCTGTAGCTATCAACTGATGTTATTTGACGGTGAAATTCATATTCAAACGGCATCAACTCTCTGTAAAATGATTTAATTCAAACAGGAAATCAAGTGAAAAACAATGGACATTATTCATAAGTTAAATCATTTAAAAAGTAAACAAAATTATTCCGAAAATGATTCTGATCGATTGTTAAACAAATGTTCTCGATGGATTACGCTTAAATTCTGTTATTTTTGATATGAAAATGGATGGTAGTATTTAATTGCAATGCTTTATCATTTTTGAACAGAATTTGTAATGTCTAAACTTATGTCAAGCCCACATACGTTATTCTAGTTTCTGGATAGACCAGTTTATCCATTAACCTCAATCCACATTTTGAACTTGGTAATTATTCACTTATCAACCTTCACTGCTTTTATGTGAACGTATATGTGTACATTGTTTATCCTACTCATCACATATCTGTAACTTATTTTTGTTTTACTATAAATATAGATTCATCCTTGGTTAGATCGAGCTGGCACACATGCTATCTCCGATTCGTTTCGCTCCAGTCTCCTCTCCACTTCGTTTTCCTAATTGTCTCTTCAGATCAACGATTGCATGAAGTATACATACACAAAATCCATTCTCGTGTTTGACTTATTTTAATTCCGTTATTCAGTAACAAGAGTTGAGTCGATAAAAATATACGAGGGTTAGAGGTATGTATATTTCAATAACAATCATTTATTCGATCCAATTGGAGTCAGATATTGGGCCACAAAAAAAACTACGTTATCATACATTAATGATGGAAGCTTATTCAAAATACATACCATAATGTTATTCAAAAATACTTATATATTCTTCATATAACTGATTACTGTGTAATAAGAAGCTTAACTGGAACTAATCAAAAGAAGACCACGATATGTTTGCATTCATAGAATTTATCGTCATTAGTACGTTTGTTGCACTTTTTAATGACATTTACAATCGTAGCATGAAGTCAAATTACAAAAATTCAAGTTCAAATGAAGTCAAGTGATTCCTTCATTTGAAAATTTAAAAATACTTGGTGGTAATTGTGAAGGTTGTGACTGACGGGTCTTTGAATAATCCTTTTACGACAGTAATTTATATTCGTAATTTATTTACAACAAAGAGAGAGGTGAACTCGAAATCTATGCTAGAGGCATACTGACGTTTAACTTTAGTTTGAGTATATTTATCTTAAAATAAAGGAATTTTTTAATAAATCATTTAATTTCGCTTACATTACTTAACTAAAGCACTAAAATTTATTCAAGTAAATCAAGTACACAAAAGACTGAGTTCAGTGTTTTAAAGTTCTATTGTGTAAATCATCCATAAAATTAGAATAGTTTAACTTTTAAATGTTTAACGAATAAATGGTATTGGAAAGAAAATCAACGATTAGTGTATTGAGTTGTATTATTTGACCCCATTAATGGATATGAATAATTGAAATGACTAATTCATCATAGAAACATTTGGAACATATTCAACTGTTAGCATGAATCAAACCCATTATTCATGAAATTATCACATAAACCAGATTAGTCTTAATTCGACAAAGTTCAATATTTGTGGAAGGTGTGTTGCATTTTTTTGTGTAGATAATTCTCATTAGAATTCGTGTACCGAACCTCTTGTCTATTGTGTAAATGATTATCAATTAACCACATAGCATCTCGTTCACATATTTTTTTCTTCATTTCAAACGAATACAATTACGGCCTTACCACCACCTGACTGCAACATGGTTGCTAATCTGTCGTTTGTCTTGACTATCGTTCCGATTCCTCGACTGATGATAAACGAACCCTATTCATATCCTCACACTCCTGAGACTTTAACACAGCCAATCGATTACTGCATTCGATTGTATTCTAACGAAAACTTTTAAGTGTTGACATATTCCAACATGCTTTCAGTTGGCTAGCCAAATAAAGTGGCACTTTCGTTGTTACGATAACTTAATTCTACTCCTGTGGCTTCTATTGCTAAAACGGCTACCTCTGTTTGTTATTGGTGGAATTTAAGACGGGTTGCGTAGAAATCAAGGTAACGAATCTCCAATTTGTTATGGAATTATTTGCTTGCCTATTTTCACGTATTTATCAAATGCATGGTGCTTATAGATCTCATCAATCTGAGGATCGAAATCAGTTCCACTGCATACACTGATGAAGTAATAACTGCAGTGAATAAAACCATTCTATTAATATGATCAGTTGTTGATCAGTAAGGTCGTATTTATTCCCCTTGATACTAGATGTAACTCATTGGTATAGTACGAATTGATGTGTTTGACGCTAAACGCACTTTAACTACGGATGATTGTGATCCATGTCTAATATCCAATCCGAGGTAGACGAAGAGAGATTATGCTCTTCAACGTACAGGTTGGAAGCTGAGTGTTTTAACAAATCATATTTCGTACCCATTCGAATACTGTGGATTTTCGAGAGAAAAATATCCATCACAAATAGGTTTAATAATGTACGAAATACTGGTGAGAAATCTATCAAAAACGCGCAAAATAAACACTTATCTCCTTGACTTCCCTGTAAATTCACTTCAGTAGTATATAATTGACACACACATGCACATACTCGGAACACAATTACACACACATACATGCTTACACAGTTGAATACATACAACTAATCGTACATTAAGCGTTGTTGAAATAACACTTATACATAAAATATGAAACTACCATTGAGCGTTTTTATGTTGAGTTATAGAAAATGTTTGTATATTGTTTTTTTTATTTATTCAACTACCTAGTTATCCTTAGAATAAAAGTAAACAATGTTAAACTGCCTTAAATAAACTTAAAAATCGATTTGTTAAAATACTATTGGAAATCAACACAAGTTTTTACTGTTGGAAATCACGTTACATAAATAGCTAAATTCATTTTCATAACAATCTGATGACGAGAAAATCTAAAAGGTAATTCTAATTTCAAGAAACAGACCATTGAAAAAGAATGGAACTTCATACAAAAATAGAGAAGAAACCTTTTTGTAACATTCTATGGAAGAAAAGAGATCAGTCCACTGCAATACTCAACTTCAACATAAGAACAACACTAACTCTTTCGAATAAAATCCGACACTTCATATAATATCCAATTTGGAGATATCATTACCAAGGTTTGATTTGATAATTTCGAATAAATTGAGCATTGAATGAGAAAAAGAGAATTCAACGAAGAACATTTTTTTTCGACGATATCATTTACTTAAGCTGTACATTCGTATATATAATTATATGGAAAATGTATGTCTATAGAAAGATAGGAAGGATTTTATCACAAAAAGATGGATTCGAGAATAAATAACAAATGAGGTTACTTACTCATCAAGGGGTAAAGAAGAAAATAGTTTATGGGTCAGATAATAGTCCAATTGACAAATATGATGAAAAGCGACAAACACAAAGGTCATAATAATAAACTGAATAATAATCAAGAAAACTTGTATAAGATTATGATGAATTCTACTCTTATATGTCCTCATTACTTGTACCTTATATAGTAGCAATAATATGAGTATATACTTAAAGGTCAACAAGTCTATGAACAGTTACTTGTTGGCTGGGAGTTGACTTTCTCATCAAATCGTTAACCAGTTAGGCTCTTCAGCTCAATATGTTGTGAAAACATCTTAAGGAAATGTGTTCATAGAAGGTTAGATAAATCAAAAGTCCCTATTTTCGGGACTAACCATCCAATCTTCTGTTCTTTCCAAACTAAAACTGACAATTCATATTTATTTATGATAGAAATACACTAATAACCCTATTCCAGATTGTAATATGATTCATTTTCATTGGGGATTAGAGTAGACTGAAAATTAGTAACATTTTTTTTATATCTATAAATTCCGTCAATATAAAACACTCTAATTGTGATCACTGTTTTGGGAAAAATCATTCACTTATTCACATCTAAGACTAGTTGTCGATGTGGACTGATATTGACTGGAGAACCTTTGGAAACTCGAATTGGATGAATATTTTGCCTGCGCTTGTAGCTCCTCGTCAGTATGCGCCTGTTGTGGTGTGTGCTACTGATGTCGACTGATATAAGTTGTATGTATCACTAAGAGAAAGTGGAATGCCTGGCTGCAGAAAGTTAACAAGATCGAAGAGAAGATACCGAAAACAGAGAGTGATTGGTATGGGAACGAAGGAACGTCAAAGTCTGAGACAATTAAAATAACCTATAGTGCCATTGAATAAGAAAAAGAGAATTCAACGAAGAAAATTTTTTTTTCGACGATATCATTTACTTAAGCTGTATCACAAAAAGATGGATTCGAGAATAAATAACAACTTACTCATCAAGGGGTAAAGAAGAAAATAGTTTATGGGTCAGATAATAGTCCAATTGACAAATATGATGAAAAGCGACAAACACAAAGGTCATAATAATAAACTGAATAATAATCAAGAAAACTTGTATAAGATTAGATTGTTATAAATAAATAATATTTGTTCTTTGAAGAAGTGACCTACACTAAGTTATGAAACTTATGGTTACTATTTAAAATATTATTAAATACTTAGTATTCAACTACAAAACATTGAATATCACATTAAATATTTGTTTCTATATACTTTTAGATGATCCATTCATAAAAGTATAAAACAAAGTGTAAAATATTCTTTATTTATAGAAACATACGAGAAGAAGAAGAATTTTATTTAATTGTAAAGTGTTCCTAAAAATTTTTTGTAAATTACTAACTAAACTAGTGATAATTGGAATAAAGTCAATGTGTAATATGATAATGAACTGAAAGAAAGTTCAAATGTTTTTTTATTTTTGTAAAATAGATTTTCAAGTTTCCAAGTGGTTTTTTTTAAATCAAACATTCATAAGATTTTTTCGTCTGTTTTCTTTTAAATACCCATATAACTCATAGAAAAAAACTCTTAGCAATCATATACTGAATTCATAAGTTTTTATATGAAACAATATAGTTTCAGAGTTATAACCCACATCTATCAGTTAGAATCGATGCATAAAACGAAAAATAAACCGTCCAATTAGTTACCAGGTGGTGATAAGTTAAGTTCTATGTTCTAGACCAGTTATGAGTAATATTGACAATAGTTAAACAAAAGGTATCATAGTTTACTTAATCGCTTTCGTAAAATCTGACAACTCAACTAATATGATAATAAGTTATCTCAATGAGACTGAGGAATATGCAGGCTACATATATATATATATATATATATATATATATATATATATATATATATATATAGCAGTGTTTTACATTTCTGTGTAATGGCAGCAACTAACGCAACTACAAAGCTTGCTTTACATTGAGATTACTACTTTGAAGTGTTAAAAACATTATTTTTCGGAGTTACAAATATTTAAATGCATAAATCAATTTATGCTACTAGGCGTCATATTATCAAAAAAAGTTATTAAACATTCGGTTTTTTTCTCAACGGAGATTAAAGTATTTTTATTTTCAATGGTTTAAAACTCTCTAGTTATCGATTATCCTCACAAAATATATATAAGGAAAGAAATTGATCAATAACAGTGCTCAAAAATGAAAATGAGATCAATCTTTTCTGGACAAGTTAACTGGACTCAGTATTTTAGTGGATTTATATTGAGCAACTGAAACAAAATAAACATCAATAGAATATCAACAATGGAATCAGAGTCCATTAAGATGATTATTTTCAAATAGGGAAAAAAAAGCGTTTTTGGCCCTCCACTACTAGTTACTATTTAACTTCACGTTGAAACAATTAAAAATCCTATTCAATATCAAGTTATATTAAAATGAGTAAACGACATAATTTCAAGTACATTATTTAAAATACCAATATACAACAACAAAAAAACCCAGCAACGACAACTGAAGAATAAATAAATTTAAAAAAAGTATTATTCAATAGACAAAAAAAGAGCATTATTGTATACAAACAATACTGTCCACTAATCATTTAAGTAGTTCAATCAATCCTATTGTCATTTTAAAAACAAAACAAATATTCTAGAGGTAAAAAATTTGTTAAAAAATAAAGTATATAATAAATTATAAACTATTCGTAGTCAAATAATATTCATATTGGGTGAGGGGAGAGGCTTTTTCATTATTATTATTATTATTATTATTATTAAGGTAAACATTGAC